GTACCTGGCTAACCAAATCAAGCTGAAATAGGACTAGTTAACCCTATGTGATACCCGGCTAACCAAATCAACTGAAACAGGACCAGTTAACCCTATGTGGTGCCCAACTAACCGAATCAGCCGAAACAGGACTAGTTAACCCTATGTGGTAGCCGGCTAACCAAATCAAGCTAAAAGCAGTCAGATCCCAGGGAAGATTCAAGGAGCTGGTTTATTTCCCTACTCACTTATCACATGAACACAATTTAAACACTTAGACCAGTGACTTCAGGACTCAAATTATTTTCTGTTTCAAGAACATAAAAAGGTGACTTATGAGTAATTATCAGTCTTTGTTTTTCAAGCTGAGTTTCCCCAAACAATTTCAACAACTAATTTAGGAATAAATACTTCTTTAAAAACCTAAAACCTTTTGAATAATTAAATATTCTATCACGTGATCACATTATTCATAAAAAGTTTAAAAGAAGTTTGTCCTTTACTATTTGAAATGTGGTAAAGTCTTCTTAGCCCAAGCCAGCATGGGCTGGCATGCACATTTTTTCTGCAGTTGTAGGCTTAGAGTAACAGAAATTCTTGCAAAAGTAAACTCAATCCACTTGAAAGAGAACAAGTTGTAAAAGAAACCATTTGTTTATGTATCTTTTATTTTCAAGGGTAATTATAATAAAAGGCTTTCATTTTTTGACTTCTAATGTAAGCAAATCATTTGTGGTTACTTTAGAATATTTTTATTCAAATTTTGGCTTGTGGAAGTAGGAAAAGGAAAGATTATTTTGATATATAATTTTTAGACATTAATAAAATTGGATCTTTTGAATTTATAAAAGAAAAGGCACCTTGTTTATGTCATATAAAAAAGTCTTAAGTAAGGATTATGTTTTATTCATGTAGGTTTACTTATGTTTTCACTTTAGTAGCCCTAGACTATGAAAATACAGAGGGTACAAAGAGATGTAGATGTATCTTAAGAAAGGGAAAAACTGTATTAAAATTATAATATCTGATATATACCAATACCAAAAGATGAATACAAGTCATGTTGAGCACCTCTTGTAATTGCAGAGATCAGACATGAGCTCACTACTACAAATTTAATAGAATTTTTTCCTTTCTTAAAATGTGTATACATTTTTTAGCAACTTCTGTATTTAATTTCAAAAGGATATGGGGAAATAAAAAGTGTTTCATATTCACTGGTCATTTCTAAGATCTAGACTCACAGATTAAATCCTTACTTTGTCTCAGAGTGAGGTAGGCTTAGTTAGGTAAGGTAAAATGTTAGGTGGGTTATTTTTTTCTTTGAAGAAAGTAATTGAAAAGATTTATTGAACTTCAAGCAAGTCAGCCTTTGGTTTTCAGGTAGGAGTGTAATAAATTTTCAGAATTCCTTCAACCAAAAAAGGAATATATGATAAAGGCCTCCTTTGTAAAATAATTTTGCCCAAACTAAGTACTTTAATGGCATTTTCAAGTAATCTTTGCAATCCTAGTGTAAAGAAGATATTATCGTTAGCCGAAATTTTAATGTAAATTAAGGCTGTATAAGATATTTTCCCTGTTAATTTGAGACACATTTAAACTAATTGAAATCGAATGTTAAAGACTAAATTTTTCACATGTTCTCCACCATAAACACAAGCTTCCCTCTTCCTTTGCTCCCTACACCCCTCAAAAAGTTGCTATCTTAGACACTTTGTGCAAAATCATCGTTAGGCCATGAGCTCTGATTGTGCCATTTCACTGCAGCCTAGGTGAGAGACAGAACAAGAACCCCCTCGGGGAGCAAGGGAAGGAAGGAAGGCAGGAGAGGAGGGAGGGACAAGGGCAGAGATGGGAGTATCACTTGAGGTCGGGAGTTGAGACCAGGCTGAGCAAGAGTGAAATCCCCATCTCTACAAAAAGCAGAAAAATTAGCTGGGTCCACTGGTGGCTGGCACCTGTAGTCCCAGCTACTCAGGAGGCTGGGGCAGGAGGATCACTTGAGCCCAGGAATTTGAGTTGCAGTGAGCTTTGGTGATGCCATGGCCCTCTTGCCTGTCAAAAAAAAGAAAGAAAGAAAAAGAAGGAAGGGAGGGAGGCATCCTGATAAAGCATTTAGTGTTTACAAATATAGGCTCTATTCAGATGCAGAATAGAATTCTGCCTTAGCCACAGAGAAGCTGCATAGCTTTGAGCAAGCCTCTTAAAGTTCAGTTATACTCCCTTATAGATGCCATCATTTTTTTGCTTACTGTATTAAGTTCTAATTATAGCACTCAATGTTTAAAAAAAAAAAAAGCAATAACTTTTCGGAATCTAACTGTAGATTTCCAGTCGGACAGCGACAGCTTCAACCCTACCCTGTGGGAGGAGCAGAGACAGCAGCGCATGACTGTGGCCTTTGAATTTGAAGACAAAAAGGAAGATGATGAGAATGCCGGGAAAGTTAAGGTGAACCTTCTAGCTTTCGTTTCTTCTTTCCCCTCTCTTTGTTTCTCCGTTGTTATTATTTATATAGATTTGGGAACAAATTAAGCGACCTCTGCTAGAAGGTCAGATACATCTTTAAGTGCTCATGGTGGTACCTGGGAGTTCTTAAGGCTTTGGTGTGCTTTGGAATGAGACTGAGGTCCCAAAGCCGAATGAGCGAATCGGATATGCCAGCCTCTCCTTCTGAATAGCAAGGCAAGAGAGATTCAAGTTGAGAGGAAGTTAAAAAAAATATCTGGTGATGAACTTCAACTGGGCACCCATTTGTCTTTGACACACATTGTGATGGTTTCCTTTTCATCACTGAGCAAGGCCTCGTGCAGACTAAGTCCAAAATACACATTATGGAAAGGAGAACTGATTGGTACGTTACATTGGCATTAAAATTACTGAAAGGTTCTGTGTCCCTGGGATATTGGAGAAGAACTTCTGAGTTTTAAATGTAAGGACACATTTTAAAGGGGATGAGTGCCTGATGGCAGGCCATGTTCCTTTAGGAATGACTCCTTTTTACCTCAAAGCGTCTTTGTATTTTATTTCCATAGCTTTGGGGGGTACGAGGGCAGTTTTGTTGCAGGAATGTATTATGCGGTGGTGGAGCCTGGGCCTTCAGTGTTCCCAAGGCTCTAACAGTGATTTCCCTCCTCGGCTGCTCGCCCAGCCCCCCACTCTCTGGAGTCTCCACTGTCTCTTCCTCTGCCCTGCACAGTAACAGATACTCATTGTTTAGTTTCCACTTACAAGTGAGAACATCAAACTGTATTTTTAAAAAGCCTTTATTGGAACTAATTTAAGTCAAGCAATAAGAATGAATTTTAAAATCCATGTTTTTCCATTATTTAAATTTTCAGATATCATCAGAATTGACTTAGATTTTATCAACATCAGATTTTCATGTTATCGTCGTGGCAACATCTTGAATCTCTCATTTAGTTTTGTAATTTTATCTGGGCAC